ACATACATCATGGCGTGCATAGTAATGTTAGCAAACACAAATAAAAAGGCAATCAAATAAATTGCTGCAATTTATTGCCGAGTTTCTGCAAACTTTGAAAAACGCATTTATATGCCCAATAATTTCCGATCAAATATGACATTGCAAGGAAATATCCTGATACAGCTTTGCTATGACTTATTTTCACGAACGATGGTGATTATTAACACATTTTGGCGTCCTCTGGTCTAACACCGTTTGAGACGAGGCTCAAAAGAAAGCTGTCTCTGGTGTGGACCAATCAGTTTCAAGGATAATGCATATATTTTCAGAGTATGTTTTTTGTTTGCATTCTGACCACAAGCATTGTGGTTAATGCAGACATGATTCCTTGTAAAAGGTTTCAGTTTGGTGTTTTAAGATCTTAACACCTGTTTTGTTGCTAGAAAAAAGGGGAAAAAACCTATTATCATATTTTGGTACTGGCAAAGGAGATACCATGATGTACCTGCATATGATATCTAACGTATCTAATAAGCTCACCTTTCTGTCTCGCCATGCAACCCAAAGTATTGCACGTAGAAGTGTATAATAGTATCAATTTAGCGAAGCATTTGGGCCATTCACTTTATGGAGTCTGCCTGCAAAATAAATTCATTAAATGTATGAATGTATGTTTAGTCTCCTTGGCACACTCTGCACGTATAATAATCATAAAAATACCTTTAGACGACCAATACTTCTGTAGATTAATAATAATTATCCAAGTTTGTAGAGCCCAGCACTCGAGATTTGTATAAGTGTTAATATATAAGGAATTGCATGTGTATAATAAACACTTATACTCCATTCTGTTGCACATCAGGGACTCGTGGCTGTAAAAATTGCCCTGTAATGGATTCAAGATTAAAATTACACCCCAAGATTTAAATGAGCACATTTTGTTCAGTATTCTATGGCTACACACACTGCACCGAATAAATGCGCTCGCAAGTTTCTCGAGCAGTGGTTACTGTTATAATTAAATATACTGTAATAAGCTTTTGCTGAGAGCAATGAGGCATTTCACATTATACCATCTTAGCGAGTTTCATAGGCACTGCGTTTATCAAGTATATCTGCACACCACATATTTGAGCCGTCATTCTACAGTATTTAGTATACTGCCAGTGTTCATAATGTACTACAATTAAACCATTTTTATTTGACCAGATAAGGCCCACTGAACAATATAGCTTTTTTTGCAGAAGCGACTCGGCACAAATGATAGCTCAACAAAGTGGTTTATCACGTTGATATTTTATAGCAGCCAAATACTGTAAACACATGCTGATTCTAATTGTGGAGGGAAAAGCGGAGGACCCGGAGAAAAATCCACGTGACCACAGTGAGAACATGCAAACTTCAAATATACAGGCGTCAGGGTCGGGATAGAACCCATAACATCCTGTATACAAGGCAAGGGAGTTAACATATCGTCATATGTCAATAAAACTGAGATGTGGCATCAATGTGCGTGTGTGCAGCATGCCCTAACACCCATCGTACATACAATATGGCAATATTCAGCTCAATCTGCAGCTATTTTACAATTGCATGGCACAGTGCCTGAAAAATGCAATTCATAATGAATTGCACGTTAATTACTTTTAGAAAATGTTCTTTGTAAATTGAATTATCACAGCAGAGCCTCAGAGAGCAAACAGACACCGTGTGGAATTGTAAAGTACATAATGCCAGTGTCTTGGTATTGTGTGGATTGTATAGGTTCTCTAGGCCCCAAAAACAGCCCATAATTTGAAAATACCATCCAAGTGAAAGTCTGTGAACATATCATTATCAGCCATGGTCAATCCATTTCTGAAATTTACATAAATTATTCACAAGACCATGAGAAACAGAATCATTGTTCACGAAGATCATGAGGGTGCTTTGGTGGTGAGATGTTAACGACCTTGCCTGGTATAGAGGATGCGTGGGTTCAATCCCGACCCTGACGCCCGTATATTTTGAGTTTGCATGTTCCCTTGGTCATGTACATTTTTCTTCGGGTCCTCCGGTTTTTCCCCACACATTTACAAACACGCCTTTAGAGTATTTGGCTGCTATACATTGCCACATGATAAGCCACTTTGTTGAGCTATCATTTATGGCCAGATTGCCGATGAAAAAAATATCTGTACGATATAGTTCAGTGGGCCTTACCTGGTGTAAAAAAAAAATTGAGTCAACAACCACGTGAGCAGGCAAGGGCTGAGGTAAGGTTTCTCTCACATCAAATGTGTACACTGTAAAAGCCTCCAGCCATGCCTCGGTGGTTTCCACCACACCGGAGTTGCAATCCAGAGGTCGTCGGTTCGATCTCTCGGCGCCGAAGTTGCAACGAGAGCCCTTTTAACTACTTTTACCCAGCTCTGTCCACCCAACAGCATAAATGGGGGAACCATTTAGTCCATCAGCAAAGCGCGCCACATGTGCTGGGATGATGTGTGGGTGCACCCACCGACGTCCGGCCAGTGTTTGCGCAACCAGCAACGGCGTAAGCGAGCGATTCCATGGCCGCACTCCTCCACATACAGTGAAGGAAAAAAAAGTATTTGATCCCCTGCTGATTTTGTACGTTTGCCCACTGACAAAGCAATGATCAGTCTATAATTTTAATGGTAGGTTTATTTGAACAGTGATAGACAGAATAACAACAACAAAAATCCAGAAAAACGCATGTCAAAAATTGTATAAATTGATTTGCATTTTAATGAGGGCAATAAGTATTTGACCCCCTCTCAATCAGAAAGATTTCTGGCTCCCAGGTGTCTTTTATACAGGTAACGAGCTGAGAGTAGGAGCACACTCTGAAAAGGAGTGCTCCTAATCTCAGCTTGTTACCTGTATAAAAGACACCTGTCCACAGAAGCAATCAATCAATCAGATTCCAAACTCTCCACCATGGCCAAGACCAAAGAGCTCTCCAAGGATGTCAGGGACAAGATTGTAGACCTACACAAGGCTGGAATGGGCTACACGACCATTGCCAAGCAGCTTGGTGAGAAGGTGACAACAGTTGGTGCGATTATTCGCAAATTGAAGAAACACAAAAGAACTGTCAATCTCCCTCGGCCTGGGGCTCCATGCAAGATCTCACCTCGTGGAGTTGCAATGATCATTTCTTTGTCAGTGGGCAAACGTACAAAATCAGTAGGGGATCAAATACTTTTTTCCCTCACTGTATGTGTTTTACTGTGTACGGTATACATGTATATCCATACCTGTCAACCCCTTATCGGTGTCTACCTTATTACAGACCAATTCAGACCTTATTGGTCACCCCGTGCCCTTATAAATCTCAACGTTCATCCCACAAAGTCACATTACAAGGAAGGAATGCATATCGAACGTTAATCTGTTTACAATTGTAAACGCCATTAGTGCAAGTGTATGGGATATAGCATATGTGAATGAATGTGGCAATTACAAGACGATAAGACTAATTATTATAAATTACGCTGGAATCCTAAAATTAATATGCTGCATACATCTCCCAACTGCACCCAAATACATGGATCTGATTTACTGACTCGTTAACCGTAAATATGCGGCACAATAATATCCACTTAAGTCAGACACTTCCAATATACAAGCTCATTATTTGTACTGTGTTATTTATAATTATGCAATTACAAGTAACACGTGCTTTTCCGGAGTATACTTTGAACTTTTCCACCTGTATTTTAAAGCAAGAGTTGTGGTTGCGTCTTATAATCCGGTACGCGTGCGTCCGTGCGCATGACCCAACGTTACTTTGTAATTGACACTCGGCCGTCTTCCTTTCCGGTGCGTCTTATAATCCGGGTAATTACGATAGGAACGACAACCTATAACGACCAGACACTTCCATATATAACCATTGATTTCATCTTACACACGTGTTTGAGAAGCGTATGTAAGCATGCGTCTTAGTCCAGTCAGTCCATGAGTTTAGACCAGATATTGGACAACGTGTGGCATGCAGAGCTTTTAGGGGTTCCAACTTCTTTATGCGGCCAATAAGTGATTTAATGATGTATGTTGAACTTTTTTCGCACCGTACGTAGCCAACCGTGCCATTTTAAATGAGTGGGGTAAACAAATAATACCTCTCATTAGTCGTATAAACAATGAGGTACCAAGATTATAATCTTGATACATTATTGGCATAAAGGATCGCATAGATCGGCACGACTTCACGTCTTTCTACCCAAGGTGGTACCCATTTCCTCTCTGGCCTATGGACTAAGCATATGCTTGTGAATTCAGCACATTCGTCAATAACACTGCCATAAAATGAACATAATAGACGTTTCGGACAATGTCCCTTATTCTTCGTCTTTTGAATGGATTCATAGCAGCATATGAAATATGTAATTGTCCCTTAAAGATTTAATTGTCCTTTATTACACAGCAGAGGGATAAAGTAAGTCCACTGCCCGAGACGTCACCTATTATATTTATGTATTTCTGTGAGGGCAGCGTTACTGACCCATATATTCACCGTGCTGTTATTAGTGAAGCATTGTCAACGCAGTATCGCAAACATGTTTTTTGTTGCAGTTGTGAATGTATCACGTGTCAACACAGTAGTGGATTGACCATGGCTGCTGCTGCTGATGATGATGAACCAGGCCGCATCTACAAAATAAGCTAATTGCTCAGTGGGCTTTAACAGGTAAGACAAAAAAAATAGTTTTGTTTCAGTTGTATAAAGGCACTCCTTACCATGCTTGAGTATTTTTGTTGTAACGTTTTGACCCTGTGCCCCTTACTGGAGACATCGGTGTGTGGGGGGAAAAAAAGAGCTTTGTGGCTCATCGGATTCCTCCGGTCACAAACAAAACCCCATTCTGTGTGTTGTGAGAGAGGAAAAACACCACAAAAAAACACACACACACACAAAACGCCACCCCCAACACCAAGAATCACGAATCTGCACGGCACCGAACGCGCGGCTTGTCGCGCCCCGAGGCGTGCGAATCCTCGGGTCACCCAATCGAGTTCCGCCGCCGCCCCCCCTTCGTTGTCTTGTTGTGAGGAGGAAGAGTACCGCCGCCTGAGTCGTCGTGGACGGGAGAGACTTTTACGTGTAGGCGAGTCCATGCTACGGGCCGTTTTTTTTTGTTTGTTCTGAAACCTCGTACGAAAACAAACCAACAACAACAAATCCCCCCACTCGCTGGGGGAGACGGTCACCTCGGCGGGCGACAGCCATGAGTTGGTGAGTCGCGCGTTGTTAGAACCAGCAGCAGACCGACAAACTTCGCCCGAGTTGTTGTTGTTGCTGTTGTCGTCCTTCAGGGTTTTCGCTTCAACGTGTGCCGTCCTCATTCGGTGCGATTTGTTCTGTGGCGAAGAGAGCGAGCGAGAGAGAGAGAGAAACACCGGGAGTTGAGTGAATGCGGTGGTGGTGGTGGCGGGGGCGTTTATTGAGAGGCGTGGGAGGCGACCTTAAAAAGACGCCAAACTCGGCTCCGTTTGGATAATCGCAGCGCGCATTTAGACGCGGAAACTACGAGAGCGGTCTTCCACCACGACGCTCACGGGTTCCCTCCACCCCAAGCCGACATCCACTGCGCAGACCGTGATGCACAAAACAGACCCTGACGGCGTTCCGTAATCACGACGCCCAATGATGATGGCCCCGTCCACACATACTGAAGAAGACATCGCAGCGATTGCCACTCCAGCTGCCCCCTTGACGCGGTTATCTGCTGGCCTGACACCTGCACGTTACATTTTTAGTTGATGCTATATGCATCTGCATCAGCTGTACGTAAGAGACTGTGCCCCTTTATCACTACCCACACGACAGAACGTACAACGACGCCAATTATGATGGCCCCTGTCCACAAATTGGAAGGAGACAACGCAGCGATGCCACTCCAACTACTCCCGACGCGGTTATCCGCTGGCTTGAACCACCTGAATGTGACATTGTTAGTTGGTGCTCTGCCGTCTTGCAGCATCAGGCGCCCGTCATACGAGAGAAGAACGAATTCGATGGCTGTGCTGCGACACCACCAGCCGTGCGGACCCCGTGTATTGGATGCTCCTTGTGACCGAGAGCAGTGGTTCTTTAAAAAAACAAAAAAATCCGATATAAACTCTTGTTGCAGCAGCAGCAGCTCTTTCTCCTATGTCAGCAGTTCTCCCGCTGTATCTGTTCCACCTGATGACGGTCGCTTGTGTTGCGATCGAAACGTCGTGAATTATTTTATTTTATACCTACGTGACTTTACCGAAAGAACCAGAGAGTATGGATCCCTGCAGTCACGAAAACTTAAAATCACGGATTGGTTCTTAAAACCTTTACTTGCAGCCCTGCTGCGGCCCTTTGCATATCTGGCAACACGTACGGTTTAACCCCGTATTCTTGTGCAGGGAAATTGAGTTTTCAGGTCCACATGGCGTACAGCCGTTTTAATATGGGCAAACATTTTTTTTGTCTATTTGTTTGTGTTTCTCCCTTGTGATGGGACTTGGTAGGATGAACGTTGAGATTTTTAAGGGCACGGGGTGACCAATAATGTCTGAACTGGTCTGTCATAAGGTAGGCACTGATAAGGGGTTGACAGGTTTGCCTTTGGTTCTCAAACTTTAACAAGAAATGTAGAATGTTAATAAACACAGGTTTGATGAATGACTTGGTGGTCCGCGCTTAATTTGTGTTTCGATGATTTTACCTTCTAAAACAATCTGGCATGTCTCGCATCCCCAGGAAGGGCATCTCGCACCCCAAGAGGGTGCGTGCACCCCAGGTTAAGAACCACTGGTCTCGGTAATATAATGGTTCCTTTTTCTTCTGTCGTATATGGCTGATATATGGCAGAGCAGCAACTAACAATGTCACATTCAGGTGGTCAATCCAATAGATAACCACGTCAGGGGTAGCTGGAGTTGTATCGCTGCAATGCCTCTTTCGTATTTGTGGCTCGGGGCATCATTGGGTCGTTATGTGTTGTTACGGTCTGTTGTGGATGCCCGCAGTCACACACGACGACTTGAGAGCTTTTTTTCCCCATTTGTGCATCAGCTATCATCTGAATACACTGTCATGGTGTGTGCAGTGGATACGGTTTAGGGTGGACCGTGAGCTTCGTGGAACATCAAACCCTGCGTTGGGTCTTTCACGAGGTTTTTGTGAGTTTTTTTTGTTAAACTCTAGTCATCTTTGGTGCCTGCACTTTGGTAACTATGATAGCGCCCCCCCCCCCCTCAGCGCCACGCATGGCACTGATATCTCTGTAGGCATGCATGAGTTCGTGCAACGTATCGATCACACACTAAGAAGAAGAATTATCTCCATTTCGGGTGTGCTCATTGCCTTTGGCCGCTACTCTATGGGGGTGCCATGGTAGCGAGATGTGAACTCCCTCGCCTGGTATACAGGAGATTCGATCCCGACCCTGACACCTGTATATTTAGAGTTTGCATGTCTATCTCCCCGTGGTCGCTTGGATTTTTCTCCCGGTCCTCCGTTTTTTTCCCTCCATTTAGAAACGTGAATTTAGAGAATGTGGATGCTGTAAATTTCCACTTGATAAGCCAGTTCGTTGAGCTATAATTTGCGGCCAGGTCGCTTCTGAAAAAAAGCTACGTAGCTCAGTGGGCCTTACCTGGAAAATAAAAAGTAGTTCATAGCCTAGACTGCTGACCATCATTTCTGCTATCAATGACGTGGTCTCACCAAGCCCACTTATCATTCACAATAAAAAACAGCCCACAATATGCACTGCACTAGCTTAAAAGAAAATACCCAACCATTGTTGGAAAGTACTCTCGCTGATAACTGTTGGAAGGAGGAAAATCGGCCAGTTATTTCCCGGAGGCAGTTTTGTCTTAGAGCTAAAAAAGATAGGTTACAACTTAAACTATGGCAGGTGCTGCGGGCGTTGTTCGAAAATCTAGAAATGAAATGACACAGAATGGCGGCACTTGCTGCGAATTGACCAGAACTCCACGTGTTGGCATGTCTCTCAGATAACCCCTATATGATGCTCATTCTTGCAGTGTAATGACACACCATGAGAAAGAATATAGGACGCTACTGAGCCCAATATTAGTTGATTATCCTGTACGGTATCCATTCTGCAGTCTGCACCTCCCCTGAAAATCTTTGGCGGCGGAGGGGGGTATCCCCCACAGGTTGAGAACTTCTGACAATACCGAATACGTACCACATAGCATTGATACCAATTAATAGTATTAATATTTAGAGGTTATACATATGTCGATTGTTTTATTCATGTTCGTGTGTTTATGTACAATATTGTGCTAAATTTGTGATGTTTTCATCATTAGCCATGATCAATACACTCATGGATGAAGGCCTCCTCAATCTGTGTAATTAAAAATAACGTTCTAGATGTGTGTATATTACCAACTGTGACACTCGGATCAGAAAGAAGAACATTGACAATGGGAAAAAGTATAAGAATTGAGCAGTGCATGTTTGAAATTACACTGAGAGATAGGCTACATAATGTATGGATTAGAGAACATACCCACGTTAGGGATATAATATCAACTGTTCAGAAAAGTAAGTGTGTTTGGAGGTTGAGACTACTGAGAAAGTTGCAACCAAAGGAGGGAACGTGCCCAAGAGGACGTCCATGATGGAGATGGAGTGATAAAATCAGCTCATGTGGAAGTGTTAGATGGATTGTTCCATTGCAAGACTGTGAGATGGTGATTGCCTGGGAAAGCTTTAGTCCAGCAGTGGTGGGTAGATCATGATTGATGATGACCAAGTATCTCTTATGATTTATATGTACAAAGTGTTAAGGATTGTAGTGTTATGCGTTTACTTAGTAATAAGTAATGTCCTGTATTTACTTTGGAAGTAGTCACTTAATCCCAAGACTTTTTGTCATGAGGGTTCATCTAGGGATGTTCAGCTTATTTTTAGACAATTCAGAGTGTGGGAGAAAACTGGAGTGCCCAGAGAAAATAAAAATCGGCAAGTTCTATGAAGGAACACTCCTCTCTTCATCATATATCTCCTGCAGTAACCTCTCATATCCTTGAATACAGTAAATATTTTTCGATCGCATGAGTTCCCACTCCTGTGGGGTGTCTGGAGATGTGGTTGCATTTTGTAAATTATTTATATGGTGGGCACCACAGTGCCAAGATGTTAACTCCCTCTCCTTGTATATAGGAGGTCGTGGGTTCGATCCCGACCCTTGACACGTGCGTTTAGAGTATTTGGCTGCTATACATTTTCACGTAATAAGGCACTCCATTGAGCTATCATTTGTAACCAGGTCGTTTCTGAAAAATAGCTTTGGGGCCGTCCATAAATGATGTCACGCGATTTTGGACGATTTTTGACCCCCCCCCTCGTCACACGGCGTCACAAAAAGTCAGCCCCCCCCCATCAAATATGACGTCACAAAGCTCTGACCCCCCAAAAAATAAAACATGCTTCAAATCTCTTTAAACTATTGTCATTGTAGTGCGTATTTAATGTGGCACTGCATTCTGATTTTGTAGGAGAAAACATTGATTAAGAAGTATATTTAATTAAGTAGAACGTGTTGTCTATATTTATTTAAAGTTGCGGATTGTGATGTCATGTCACATTTCTCAACCCCCCCATGTCACATCGTCACAAATGTCTGACCCCCCCCCCCACCACCTCTCGGTGCGTGACGTCATTTATGGACGGCCCCTATATGTCTCCGTTGGCCTTACCTGGTAAAAATATATATATACACAGCGTTCTATTTAACGAAGTTAATATCCAGTGATATCTTTTATAGGCATATGATTACCACAGCTATGGAGGTAATTAAGTTTCTGAGGTGATTATTTTCAGTATAAGATGTTTGAAATATTGATGTGTTATATAGTTGCAGTCATAGGACCTGTCTGCACCAACAAATGAATAACTTTTATTTTTTATATTTTAACGACCCTACACCACCATCATACTTCCAAAGTAAATACACTGCTGACACCTTTCAGTATACAAGTTCAGTTATGCTTGACTATTGAGTAACATAAATATTCCACAAGAGAGATTAAGTTTAAGAAACAGCTGTTTGATACCTTTATCATGTGTTTGGGATTGGATATAGTGTAGTCTTATCACTTAAATACCCGTTTTACACTGGCACATTAATTGTTTTTTTTTCTATTCAGAGCCGTGACTAAATTGACACAGTGTCTCACCAAACATCTGAATCCACCTTGCGGCCCAGCAGGGCCAGGGCT